CAGTTGTCTGTGTTTTGGGTTTTTTTTTTTTTTTTTTTTGCTGTATTCTAGCCCTATTGGGATCTTATGGAAAAGTCTGCCTTGGGTGTGTTGCAAACTGCCTATGGTATAACCCCCTTCCTTAGCTAAGAATAATTATTTTTCAGCTTCAGAAACAGTAGTCTTGCTCTGCTCTTGCAGCAAGGATAAAGGGGAGACTCAGGTTTACCCTCCTTTCCCACATCACCATTGTTTTAATGACACTATTTAAAGAAAGAACTGTTGTTCCTTTGCCTTGTGAACGCAGATTTGAACATCTTGGATCACACCTTTTCTACACTTCAGTGTTGTAGGCAGCTTTATGGCCTCTGTTGTATTTCAACAAGAGTCTGAGAGGCACTTTCCTTACGGTAAAACTCTCATAACATTTCCAGGGATGACAATTTACCTGGGGATTGGCACCGCTTGGTCACCTCCATCAGCTGAGATGGTTGATACCTGCAGCAGGGAGCCTGAGCGCAGCCGCAAAGGTCATTTTGGAAGAGGCTGACTTGGAGTACCGTGTGCCAGGGAGCTGAGCAGTAAGTAGCTCCTGCAGATGATCGAAAATAGAGGACTAGCGGAATCCCTCTCATGCCAGCTTTGCTTGCATTTCATAGTGCAGGAGCTTGGACTGGGCTCTGCTGACAGAGTTATGCTTTTCACCTTCACCGTCAGGGCAACCCAGAGCGTGGATGAATCTTCTCTTTGCACTGACTTTGCCTGTGCTGCTGGTAACTGTCAGCAGCTGCGCAGCTGCAGACAGCCCTATAGGTCTGCACGCAGAGGGGAAAGCCCTTACACAGTCACCCACAGGCAGACCCGAGTTCCATACACAAGCTTGCACTTAAAAAATCAGCTACATGCACACGTGCACAAACGCAGGGGAGAAGCGCGCACGCCTAGCAGCGCCAGACCTACAGCAGAAGGCAACCGCTGAGGCATATGTCCCGATGCACGCACAGATGCAAGGCCAAAGCCGTGCATCTCGAGGCAGGCACACACGCCGCTGCCAAGGCACACCTCCAGAGGCACGCACAACCGCAAGCCTTGTTGCACGCCCCCAGGGGCACGCACAAGCGCAAAATCCGCGGCGGGCGCCCGGAGGCACGCACAAGCAGGAGGCACGCCGGGGCAGGCACGACTTCAAGCGC